CATCTAAATGCTAAGCAAGTACTCCACTGCTGAGCTCTATCCCTGTCTTCACATTTGATTCAATTTTGTCCCCATACAAACAAAACAAGCTGGGTAGAGTGGTGCATATTTTAATCCTGGAGGTAGAAGCACTGTGAGTTTGAGGCCAGCTTTGTCTACATAGCCAATTCCAAGACAACACAGAAACAACAGTAAAACCCAAGATAACAACAACAAAGACCTGTCTCAAACCAGGCAGAGCAGCACAGGCCTGCAATCGTAACACTCCAGGGGCAGTCACAGGACAGAGAGGGTGTGGTCAGCCTGGCTGCACAGAAAGATCTTGTGTCAAACCCCAAGGGCTGGAGATGCCGCTCAGGTGTCACAGTGCTCGCCTAGCATAGGAAAGGCACTGGCTGTACCGCTCAGCGTTTAGGAGGCTGGAGCAGGAAACTTCCAAGTTCCAGGCTAGCCTGGGGCATACGAAAGACCATGCTTTTGTTGTTGTTGGGGAAGAAAGGAGAAGATACTGTCTCACAGAAACAAAAGGATTCTAGAGCCCCTCAGCACTCAGTGACAGGCCTTCTCTTACCTACACAAAGTTGTAAGTGAACTAACTGCTCCCATTTTTGCTTTTGCCAACAGTTTTGTTGGCCAGGTATATATGCTGCCCAAGACATTTCCTCTAGTCTATATAAAACCATATAATAATTTAAAAGGCATGGAGGGGGTGCTCAGCAGTTAAGAGCACTTGTTGCTCTTTTGGGGGACCCAGGTTTGGTTCTCTGCACCTCCATGGAGCTCACAGCTGTGAGTAACTCCTGTTCTATGGGATGCAACACCCTCTTCTGACACCTGGGGACACATACATACAGGCAAAACACCTATATGCATAAGAAATTAATTCACATATAATAATGCATATATGACATACATAGTTTTTGATTCATTTTTAACATTTATTTTTAAGTGTGTGTGTGTGTGTGTGTGTGTGTGTGTGTGTGTGTGTGTGTGTGTGTGCAGTGCCTATGGAGGCCAGAAGAGGGCATCAGAAATCTCTCAGAGCTGGAGTACTGGCAGATTCTGGCTGCCTGACATGGGTCCTGGAAAACAAATTTAGGTTCTCTGCAAGAGCAGTATATGCTCTTAACTGCTAAGCAATCCCTCTAGTCCTCACCCTCTTTTTTACAGGTTGTTAGTCTATATAATCAACAAAAAAATAAGCACAAGGCCAGCTGCAGACATAGCTTATTGCTAAGAGTGCTTGCCTTTCATGTGCAAGGGCCTGTGTTTCATTGATGGCATTGCATCTTTAAAAAGGGCTTTAATCCCAAATTAAAATTTAATTTGACCTCTAGCAAATGATGACAACGTACTTAGCCTCTATATTTACAGGGACTACACATGCAGAGCCAACCAACTGTGTGTAACATCTTTAATCACAGCACTCAGGAAGCCCAAGCCAGAGAATTTCAAGTCTAAGGAGCCAAAAGCTGCCAAAGACAGGGGTGAAACAGACAAAAGGAGCAGGAAGAATGGAGTAGAGAGCCGAGGCCAGAGAACACAGCAACAATCCTCACAGAGAACATAGCAACAATCCACACAGAGAACACAGCAACAATCCACACAGAGAACACAGCAACAATCCTCACAGAGAACACAGCAACAATCCTCACAGAGAACACAGCAACAATCCACACAGAGAACACAGCAACAATCCTCACAGAGAACACAGCAACAATCCTCACAGAGAACACAGCAACAATCCTCACAGAGAACACAGCAACAATCCTCACAGAGAACACAGCAACAATCCTCACGGAGAACACAGCAACAATCCTCACGGAGAACACAGCAACAATCCACACGGAGAACACAGCAACAATCCACACGGAGAACACAGCAACAATCCACACGGAGAACACAGCAACAATCCACACAAGAGACAAGGGACAACGGTTCAAAACAGAATAGAAGCAGTGTCAGCACTGGAAAGCAGGCTAGTTCCAGCTGTATTTTGACGGTAGAACAAACAGCTTCCTGATGGAAGAGCGATGTCTCCCTGGTTCCCTAGTTCACTTCACTCTTGTATCCTCAACCCATCGGTTTATTATCAGCAGCCGGAGAGTGATCCTGCTAAAATGAAAATCAGATCTTGACACTCTCCCACTCCTGAATTTTACCCAGTTTAAAAGACGTTTGCATTTGAGATAGCTATTATGCAACCAGGTGGACAAGTCCAGTAGGCAGTTAGAGACGAACATCAGGTTCAGGAAAGAGATCTAAGGGGGTACATACCTGTAGTCACAGCCTTCAGAAGGCACAGGCAGGTGTGGCCTTGCCTGCCTGGTCAATGCAGTGACACCCAGCATCCAAAGAGGCCCAAGACTAAGTCCCGAGGCACCCAATGTCAACAGGTACTTCAAATTTGTTGATGCTTGAATGATGTTTGAGAAGTAACTAGAATTAAGCTGGCCTTCATCTTATATATGGGGGGGGGCAGCATCCCAGGAAGAGGGAATAGTACGTAAAAATGTATATAGCACTATAAGCCTTTAATACCAGCACTCAGGAGGCACGGGCAGGAGGGTCTCTATTGCGATTTCTTTTACCATTCATTTCATAATAAAACTCAGGGACAAATATAAACTTGAGAGACAAATCACAATGACCAGGACATACACCCTCACTGTCCACTTCCCGGCTCCAAAGGAATGGTGCAACCTTCTGGCCCTACCTCCTCTTCACAGGAGGCCTCTCTATCTCTAGTTCTCTGGGGAACTCTCTGATCCATTCGGACCAGCGGCATATGAACCCTGCCTCTCAAACAAACACCTGGCTTCACCTCACAGACACAATACAGACAAAATTCCTGCAAGAGATCTCCACGAGTTTGAGGCCAGCCTGGTTTACAGAGTGAGTTCCAGGACAGCCAGGGCTACACAGAGAAACCCAGTCTCAAAAAACCAAAAACCAAAACAAAACAAAAAAAGGATATAGGGCTGGGAGGTGGACCACAGCTAAGAGCATTACCATGCTACCATGCTCTTCCAGAGGATCCAATTTCAGTTTCCAGCATCCAGGCAAGGTGGCTCATAAGTGCCTGTAACTCCAGCACCAGAGCCATGGACTCCCTGGTCTGGCCTCTGTGGGCAGTGCCACAGCCGGCATACATACACTCACACAGACAAAACACACGTACACTTAAAACAATCTTTTGAAAAAGACAAAACA